AGCATTGGTAAACTGTCCAAATACAGTTTTTAATCAGTGAAAACAATTACTGTAACTTCACAGATAATGACTTTTATTACTATTCTATAACTTTTAAAATTCAGATAAAAATCAGAAAATCAAATAATAACAGCACTCTTCTGTACATTTAAGCCTGATTATTTGTATTATAGCAGAGTTGCATTGGTTTTACAGTGTAAATATCTTTAATTAAACATTAAAAACACAAATAATTATAAAGATTTTATGTTAAATTAAAGCTAAATTACTGTATTCTTACGAGTCAGTTATTTTATTTTGTTTTTTTTGGCGCCAAAGCTTGTTTTTACAGTGCACTTCACACATCACACACAGGCCGATGGCGCTCACCGACAGCAGGCGTCCACATGTGGTGGCGAAGGAGTCATCGCAAGAGGCGCAGTGAAGTAACCCTCGAATCGCTAGACGGGACTCTGCCACCGGGGATTCTCTCAGGAACAGATCCAGGGTTCGAGGAGGACGCCGGGGGATGATGCAGACGAAGCGAGGTGGGTGGAGGAAGGTGGGGAGAGGGTTTAACATAGAGAGACTATGTGGGAGACATGGTGGAGGGAGAGAGACTGAGGATGCTTCCAGGTTGGCAAGAAAAACAAAACCGTGTCCTCGAGATCAAAACAAGTAACAGAAGAAAACAGCGAATGTGAGAGCAGCAGAAGGTAGAGCTGAATAAAGGAAGGAGCAACAGGTGAGGAGGAGGAGGAAGAGGAGGAAGTATAATCCCTCTCCAGTGGAGTAATCCTGACTGACAGGCTGCATGAGAGGACAGGAGAGACGTTTTCTAAGGTCACCGACAGATTTAAAGGTCCAGAGTGAAACACTGAGGAGGATCTACAGTCAGAACTATAATATTTATATAGTTTCCATTAGTTTATAATCACCTGAATGTAGGAATAATTGTGTTTTTGTTACTATTGAATGAGATGTTTTTATCTACGGAGGGAGCAGGTCCTCTTCTACCGCCATGTTTCTACAGTACAAACCAAACACTGACTCTAGACGGAGCAGGTCGTGTTTTTCGTGGCGAAGGTGAAGCGAGTGAGCAAATCTGAAACTCCACCACTAGATGGCACTAAAGCCACACCACAGTGGAGCTGCAGCAAATACCAAAACCTCAAACAGTGACTTTAAAACTAGACAAACACTCCACAGCATCGAGAGGAGATACAAGTAAAAGTGACATTAAAACATCTAAAGATTTTACCCGTGTACCAAAATATCTCTATAATATATAATACATACAGAAATATCTCTGTAACACAACGTCCTCTGATTACAGCAGTACCTGAATCTCAGACTCTCTGCGTCCTGTAAAAGAGTGGCTCTCCGCTAACGTCAGAGGAAATTGTTAAGAAATATAATAAGATTAATTAAATTGGACACGAGATGAGAGGACACGTCTGATTCAGCTCAACACGTGATCCAATCTCTCGTTCACTTCCTGGTTATTAATCAGAGCGACAAGTCGAGATGTCTGCAGAGATTAATAAACAAGAGCTCTGACTCATCCTGTGGCCTGAATATCAAATTCATAAACAGCATAATACAGCATTAATACTGTATATAAACTATAAATACTATATAAATACAGTAAAAAAATTTACAACTGTATTTTGAAAATATACTGTATAAATAATACAGTTTATGTTCTGTATTTATATAGTATACAAATGTATACATACAGTATTTATACTGATTATATAGAGTATAAACCCAGTACATATATACAGTATAAATATAGTATGAATACAGTATAAATATAGTATAAATACAGTATAAATACAGCCTATTAATACAGTATAAATAGACAGTATAAATATAGTATACAGTATAAATAATGGATGAGTGAGCAGTGTTGTCCTGGGGGAAACCTACTCACTTAGATGTCACAGTGTCTGTTTCTGCTGAATCTCAGCAGGAAGAAGAAAATGAGTTTGCAGGATTCATTGTGTGGAAGTATGAATGAGAGAGGAGGAGGTAGCGGAGGCCCACAGTGACTGACTGTGGAGGGAGCTCGTACTCTGAGGGAGTGGCCTGCAATTACAGGAACTGAGTCTGACAGGCGTCCGATGAGATAAAGAGGGTCAGCGTGGTGGAGCAGATCCATCCTGCAGGGCCCTCGTGTACGTACAGATACAGTGACTGAGTGTGTCTCCACCTGTACGGGTTATATTTCAGCCTTTATGGAGGTTTTACTCGCTCTGTGTGAACGACGTGAAACCCGAACAGGGAGTCAGAGCTACGGGTCATTATTCCACAGATCAGAAGGAGGTTATCGGACTCACTGTGATTTGTTATCAGGGTCGTATTGATGAGGTGGGGAGGGGGGGCTGTAATGGCTATTGAGGATGTGTCACTAACTGAGTTCCATCTGTGCAGAGCGGCTGACTCATGTGCTTCAAGTCGAATAGTAAACCTGTTTATCTACGCAAGACAAATAGCTGCGAGGTTCGATGGGAGCTATCTGTCTTTCTTTGTGTGTGTTTGTGTGTGTATGTGTGTGTGTGTGTGTGTGTTTGTGTTTGCATTCACTCACTCAGCCGTTAAACTGTTTCAGGCTGTTGGTTCATCAATATTGTGATATTGTTCTTGTAAAAATGTCTGAGAATGCTTTTATAATGTGTTGTCATTTCACTACGGCTGGAAAACCAGATATCTTGTATTTTTGTGCTTTTTTAAAATCCAGGTGGAATGCAAAATTACTTTAATCCCTTTAAGATCACACCTTTAGTTATATTGTTCCCATATTTAACAACGTATTCTAAAAACATTCACAAAAACTCAATTTCTTTGTATTTTTATATCAGAATCAATCATTGCATGTCTTCCTGTAAACTAAATGTGACAGTGCTGATTTCACCTGACATCTCACCGTCCAATCATCTGCAACTTTAGCCACACAGAGCGAAGATTCATTATGTATTATATATTCATAATGTAGCTGCTGTTAGCGTTAGCAACTGAACGGGGGCTTCAAGCAGCCTCCCAGTGAACACACCTCCGAGACCAGACAGAGGACCAGTTTGACGACAGCCGGTACCGGAGGTGATTTATGGAGTTTCCTGATGGACTTGATGCTAAAAGAAGCTAACTGTCGCCATTTCCATGTAACCCATTTTTAGTTAAAATAAGAATAAAATTATTATTTGGAAACCGGAATCACTTTTTATTCTAAATGATTATCAAGTTTTAGCAAGTTTCTGATCGATAGAATTTCAGGAGAATGTTGAATCATTTTTCTCTCCTGACTTGGGAAATTGTTTTTCCATGGTTTTCCAGGTTTTCCAGGTTTTCCAGAGCCACCTGTCTATGCTGCCTCAAAAGCTGAAACCTGGCTGCTGTTATGTAGTTTATGTGGCATTTTCAGTCTCAGGTTACCCCAGTAAGTCCAATAAAACAAGTACTATTATATTTGAATTGAATCCAGTTTCAGATTTGTGGAAGAAACAAATCATTAAACTTATTTTTTTATTTTTCTGGAGACTAAAGGTTTAACTTATTTATTTTTATTTAAGCTGTAAAGGCTGAGTTTACACTAATAATGGTAATTAGTAATATAAATACATCATAATTATTTGGAGAAATAAACAAAATGCTTATTTTTTTAAGACAGTCCTAACATTTTTGTTTAGGCCCGGAGGGCCCGTTTGTCTTGCTAAATAATCCCAATTTTTACTAATGTAACAGATCTTAATAAAAGGAAGTAAATTAACTTATCCTACAAAACATTTTGAGTTTGTTCCACTGACTTCATTTTGTCTAAGTCAATTTAATATCATTTCTGACATCCCAAAGCCCCCATTTTATTGTATGTCAGGCTGTTTTTTACAGGTAATGTAACTAATTCAACATTTTGTTAAAGAAGGATGCTTTAAGGACTTCATTCAGTACATTTATTAAATAAGTTTGGAGAAATGCTGCAATGGAGAGTAATAATTACGTTAATTATTACATCATTTACTTTATTGATAAATTTGTTATGTACACTATTTTGTCATGCTTCAATTGCTTGGGAGATTTATTTAAACAGGTTACAAGATCAAACCAGTTTGAGTTGAACTAAACCTCATCAGGTTTTACAGTGCAGACTACAGTCACCAGATTATGGTAACTCAGTTAAATGATAATCCATTACTCCCCGGGCCCTGAATATTACACACTGAACCAAACTTGTTTAAAAAAAAAAGTGTCCAAACATCCAATAACCAATAACAGATCATTGATTACTATTTAAAAGGCAAAACCGCACATTGAACAGAAGGAGGCTCACGGTTGTATCGGTTCCAGCGGCTGCGGCGCTTCTGGGAGCTGTTGCCGCTTCGCCTCCACCGCCGCTGCCGCTGCCGCTTGCGCCGCGGACTGCCTCAGGCAGCTCTCCAGCCACGATTTCTTTTTTT